AAAGAATATGTAATGTTTTTAATTTTAGTGGATAGTGCCAAAATTTCAACCCTCCCTCCATCAGGACTGAAGTTACTTACACGTCACTCAGTAACATACGCGGGTGCCTGCTCCTGACCCCAGCCTCCTTACAGAATGTCTTCAAACATTCAGGCTTTTTGACTTTCGACCATTCCTTTCACGACTTTTGGATTTTGAGTCAAAGTTACAAAAGCTTTCTCAACCCAAAATTATGAAAGTTTCTCCCAAGTGCTCTTCTAGTATGTTTATCCATTTAGATTTTACCCTGGTGTAGGATTATGGCATTGTGTTAACTTTTTAGATGGCCATCTTCAATATAAAAAGTCCTTTAATATAAAAAATCTTTATCACACACTAAACTCGAACATGTCTTTGGTTCAAATGTGTTACATGTTGTTGCTGTTGTATTGGGCTCAGTCGTGTCTGACTCTCTGTGACCCCATGGAGTCCGCCAGGCTCCTCTGTCCATGGAATTTTCCAGGCAAGAACACTGGAGCAGGTTGCCGTTTCCTACTCCAGGGCATCTCCCCCGACCCAGGGATCGAACCTGTGCTATATGTGAACGATGACAAATGTGGGGGAAGCAGCAGAGAAGAGGAACGGAGAAAAGGGCGATTAAAACAGGAAAACTCTTGGCGCGAAGCTGGTATTTGGGTGAACCCCTGAAGAAAGGGAGGTGTGACGCAGTGAAGATGGTACTTAAAGGCTTTTTGCTTCTGAAATCATTTGGACCTAGGGTCAAATCCTAGCTTCAGTCTGAGAGCAAAGTCACGTTATTTATTCTTTTCATGAATCAATTTATTCATCAGTAGAAATGGAGTTACAAATCATTGTAAGAACTAAATGAGATCTTTTTAACTAGCTTAGCATTGGGCCTGACATATAAAGGTTGATGGTTATCACTATAATGATATTACCATGGACATTTGTCCTCACTCCACATTCCTCAAAGAATGTATAGCTGCAAAATATGCCATCACGCAGTCCATGGGTAAATCCCACACGTTACTATCACGCACTGCTTTATTTACTTGTTCTAGGATTCTGGGGACGTTTGAGTGGTTCTTCATTCCTGCTGTTTCAGCCCTCTCCTGTAATGCTTGTATAAACATTTTAGTCTTTTTAAACTTTTTGTTTACGTATTTCATTCCTGCCGCTTGGGGTCTGCCCCGCTGCACGCGGGCTTCCTCTGGCTGTGGCGAGCGGCCGCTGCTCTGGTTGCGGTTCCCGGGCTTCTCACTGCGGCCGCCGCTCTGGTCGCGGAGCGCGGGCTCTAGCGCACAGGCTTGGTGTGTGTGGCTCGGGGGATCTTCCCGAACCAGCCGAGCCTGTACCTTCTGTTCAGCCGGCGGATTCTTAACCACTGGACCACCCGTGAAAGAAAGGAAGTGAAAGTGAAAGGCGCTCAGTCGTGTCTGACTCTTTGCGACCCCATGGACTATACAGTCCATGGAATTCTCCAGGCCAGGATACTGGATGGGTAGCTGCTCCCTTCTCCAGGGGATCTTCCAAACCCAGGGATCAAACCCAGGTCTCCCGCATTGCAGGCGGATTCTTTCTCAGCTGAGCCACCAGGGGAGCCCAAGAATACTGGAGTGGGCAGCCTGTCCCTTCTCCAGCGGATTTTCCCAGCCCAGGAATCAAACTGGTATGCATCGCAGGCAGGTTCTTTACCATTGAGCTGCCTGGGAAGCCTGTCTCCCCCCCGAATCTCAGTCGAACTGAATAACCTGCCCCTTAAGCCCTTCCCACCCGCGTCCCCTCCTCCTCCTTTCCTTTCCTCCTGGCCTTCCCACCGTCTGAAACTCCTCTCCACCCCAGCCCTCCCCACCCCACGTGTCCACGCGCAGCCCAGGCTCCAGGGCCGAGGGCAGATGCTGCTCCATCTTCAACCCCTCCTCATCCCTCAGCCCAGCTGTTCTCAACCTTGATGCACATTGGAATCACCCAGAGGCTCTAAAAATGATGGTGCCTGAGCCTCACCTCCAGACAGTCTGATCAGGTTGGCTCAGGGAGTGTCTGGGTGTTAAGTCGGGTTTAAACTGCTGCCAGCTGATTCTGAATGGCAGCTAAGTGGGTTTGTGGGATGCACCTATCCTTTTACCCAAGTTCTTCTTCTCTCCCGGCCTGTATCCACTGTGAGACTGTTAGCACTTCCAGAGAGGCTCAGGATGAGGCTCAGTAACTCAACAGGAATGACGACAGTGACAGCACTTACTGAGTATTTACTGTGAGCTTGGTGCTTCTGAACTGTGGTGCTGGAGAAGACTCTTGAGAGTCCCTTGGATGCAAGGAGATCCAGCCAGTCCATCCTAAAGGAGATCAGTCCTGGGTGTTCACTGGAAAGACTGATGCTTAAGCTGAAACTGCAATACTTTGACCACCTCATGCGAAGAACTGACTCCTTAGAAAAGACCCCGATGCTGGGAAAGATGGAGGCAGGAGGAGAAGGGGACAACAGAGGATGAGATGGTTGGATGGCATCACTGACTCAGTGGACATGAGTTTGAGCAATAGTGGCGGACAGGGGAGCCTGGTGTGCTGCGGTCCTTGGGGTCACAAAGAGTCAGACACGACTTAGCGACTAGACAGGAAAATGACACTGTGTGCTACACACGCGCTAAACCCTTTAGATGGATCTTCCCACCGACACCCCAACGACCCTCAGAGGCAGCTGCTGCTCTTTTGGCCCATGAGCACGTCCAGGCACGGACGTCAGGGAACACGCGGCAAAGGCAGGGGTGTGAACCATGGAGCAGAGGGCGGAGTCTGGGGCAGAGTCTGGGCAGGTGGGCTCCGCGGCACTCACACCATGGGGCTTCTCTACAGCTTACACGTGGTCAGAATTCCGCCCCACCCCCCACCCCCACCAAGTTACTGAATGAAGGTGAATGGATGAGTGGGTGGAAATAAGTAACTCTCTCCGAGGATCAGCTCCAGCAGGCCTGGTGGGGCACTTCGTTAGATTTCGTCCTGGTATCACATCCATGCTGGTGCATCTTACACACACCTGTGTGATGATTATTGTAATTTTTTTGACTTAGTATTTCAGCTAAAGTTTTTCTACTCAACTCTATCCAAGCAAAACTGTTCATGTACCAAAGAAGTATGTTTCCAAACAAACACTCCTAAAGAATAACTTCATGCATCTGTGTGTGTCCGTGTATGTGCACCACCTAAAATCAAATCATCACCCACATAGGCGCCCCACTTGCCAAGTGCTAGGTTGCTTCAGTCATGTCCGACTCTGCGACCCCATGGACTGTAGTCCGCCAGGCTCCTCTGTCCATGGGTTTTCCTAGGCAAGAATACTGGAGTGAGTTGCCATTACCTTTTCCAGGGGATCTTCCCAACCCAGGGATTGAGCCCATGTCTCTTTCATCTCTTGCATTGGCGGGGGGTTCTTTACCACTAGCGTGCATCTGGGAAGCCACTCATCTGCTAGACACAAAATTTCCAGCCAGCCTTCTTATCAACCTACTTAAGAACCTGGATCTGAATTATGCCTTGGAATTTTCAAAAGTTCAACTCACTTTAGAGTTCTAATATGAACAGGAAAGGGCTTCCCAGGGGGCACTAGTGGTAAAGAACCCCCCTGCCAGTGCAGGAGACGTAAAAGACACAGGTTCAATCCCCGGGTCAGGAAGATCCCCTGGAGAAGGGCATGGCAACCCACTTCAGTATTTTTGCCTGGAGAATTCCATGGACAGAGGAGCCTGGCAGGCTACAGTCCATGGGGTCACAAGAATCGGACAAGACTTAGCACAGCACACAGCATGAACAAGAAGTTATGTTAGAACCTGTTTAAAAGGGCATCTCTTCCCAGGTAAAACCCATTTTGCCTGGAATGAACTAGAAAAGCTGAGAACTTAGAGCTGTGGCTCTGATCGGCGTTGGGTTTTATGAAGTACCAGCTCTTTCAGAGGCATTTCACAGGACGCACTGCTCCCTTTAGAGAGAGCTCTGGAACTGAGGAAAACTCTGTGTGGAACACACACATTATTACTACCTTTTAAAATATTCACCAAAATGTGTTTATATATTTTTTAAGCTATTCAAAAAAAAAAAAAAGAAAAGGCAGCCCCATTCTTTATTTGGCCACACCGTGCAGCATGTGGGATCTTAGTTCCCAACCAGGAATCAAACCCACATCCCCTGTGTTGGAAGTGCTGAGTCTTAATCACTGGCCCACCACGGAAGTTCCCAAGAAAGCCCCATTTCTGATGCAGACTCTTCTGGCTTGGTCCTTGACGTTAGGCTGACCTATATGCCAAGTAATTCTGCCCCGGGAAGTGATCTAGAAACCCAGAGAAGGGAATAGGTCCTGTGCATGCTGTGACCAAGAAAGACTTCAGTGAAGAAAGTAGACTTGAGCCCAAGCCTGCAGAATGGATGGGTTTGAGGTAACCTGGCTTGGCCCAAGGTCGTGGGAGTGAAGAAAACAATAGAGGCCATTTTGGCAAGCATCCTGCCATCCTGAATGGGTTAGAAAAGGAAGTCCACCCCTGTATCCCAGCTTTTCACCAATAAACTCTCAGATCCTGAAGACGGGATTGTTATTCTAAAACATCAGTGCATTCCTTAGTTGATACAATCCACTGGGGATGGTGGGAAACCAGACAGAAGCATCTTCCATGATCAGACTGGAGGACCACAGAGTGCTGGCTTCACGCACAACCTTTCTGCAGAGCTGGGAGAAAAGGGTTTTTGTTCGGGACCCACCGCGCCCTGCTGTGTTTGCTCGCCTCTGGCTCCAAACAATGTCCCTCCGACTGACTGCAGATGCTGGTTCTGTTAGAAAGAGGGGGCGGGGAAGGAAGAGTGACTCTCATAAGCTCCTGATTGTTCTGCACCGCCGTGGGCAGAAGAAGTATGGCTGGAATTAGTGGGTAAGGGAGAAAGAGGCGGGAAGCAAAAATATTACTTTGAGAGTCCACATTCAACAAGTTGCAACCGCGAAAACTGTGTCTCGATCCTAGGACTTAGCTGACGGCGAGGGAAAGGGAGGACAGGAAGTCCCCACTGTGAGTCGCTCCGTCCCCGGGGACCCTGAGCAGCTGGAGGTTGCAAAGGACGCCCAGGCAGAGGACAGCTCCATCATGAGCTTCTTTAAAACCCTGGTGAGTAACTTCCTCTCCTTTTCTATTCTATTCCTACGTTCTATTGCAAGAAAGTTTTGCTAGTTCTAAGAATGACACAGACGTGAAGGGCATGGTTCCAAACGGGGTGTCATCGTGATGTAGCCAGACCCTGGAGATCAGGGACAAGGTGCTTCGGAAGGGAATTGACTGCATGAAGGAGCCTTCACTGCTGGCAACTGTGAGACGCACAGCAGGCGACCAAACTATACCACATGCTGTTGTTCAGTCGCGAAGTCGTGTCCGACTCCGCGACCCCACGGACTGCGGCACGCCAGGCTCCCCGTCCTTCACCATCTCCTGGCGTTTGCTCAGATTCGTGTCCGTTGAGGCAGTGATGCTATTTAGCCGTCTCATCCTCTGCCGCCCCCTCTCCTCTTGCTCTCAATACAGCGTGAGCTACGTGGTCATGGAACTCTGCCGCAGCTGGTGTCTTATGCTCATTGATCATAGGCATAATTGGAAAAAACCTCCTTGAGTTGCTGACCTGTCAAAGCGTTTTTGCCCCTCAAATGGCGAATCGAACTGTAGAGGTCACCTTCTGTCTTGCTACGTCTACAGCTCTCGCTGGGTCGAGGCAGGGAGCCCCGCCTTGCATTGCTTGCTCATCTCTGACTCTTCAGAGCCCGTGGCTTGGCACGTGCCAGACGCTCAGAAAAGGGCCGAGTAAGTGCAGGCATAGTCAAACAGGCGGCTCCATGCGTTTGGGCTGTTTCCAAAGACCAAGACCAGCTTCAAAAGATAAAACAGAAAAGATCAACAGAATGTGCGACAAACACCAAAGGGCTGTATGTTTGCTTGGATTAGCGGGAGACTCGTTGGAAAGTCTGTGGCCTTCTAGGAGACAGTCTTGAATGGGATCAAGCTCTGAGCGAACGTGTAAGATCTGATACATCTCACTATAAAATATTAACTTTATTAACTTTTCTATACCTAGGCATTACCAGGATTTCTTATTATATTCCTTACCTGTAGAGTAAACTGGACCATGTTAAATAAAAATATGAAATAAGGACTTCCCTGGGGTCCCAGTGTTTAGGACTTGATGCTTTCACTGTGGGCCCCTGGGTTCAATACCTGGTCGGGGAACTATGATTCTGCGCCATGGCCAAAAAAAAAAAAAAAAAAGGAAAGAGAGAGAAAAGAAAGAAAGAAAATCACCCTAAAGGGCTATGGTTTGTAACATTTGCTTTTTTTAAACTTTTAAGGTTTCACCTAACAAAGCTGAAACAAAAAAAGATCTGGAAGACACGGTAGGTAGCCTGAAGTATGTTTATGTTTGGGTTTGTGTGTGGAACTGGATTTGGGTTTATATCATCTTTGTTTTTTGAATTTTATGTGTGTATGTAGATACATATATACATATTTAGCAATTAACACCACTGTTAGGTTGTCTTTAAAATGTTTCATTTATGTTAATGGTATTTTAATGAAAATTTCGGTGGAAAACTTGAAATATGTGCCGATTGTAGCTAAATAATGTCTCAAAAACCAATTTCTTACACAGAATCAGAACAGACTACTAATAATTATATATCACCGTAGTCTTTTTCGTTGTGTGTGGAGAGACCCAGGGAATAGAGTCAACACCACTGGAAGTGAGGAAGCGGTGGGACTCAGTCTAAAGCAGAAGGAAGCCTCCAGGCTTTCGGTTTTAAAACAACGTCCTGCTTTAGTTTTCGTGTCATTTAAAAAAATCAGTCTCTACTGTGATGGCGATCTCTTGGTGGCATGAAGCAGTCACGAGTTGACCCTGGCAAATGGAGGGGTTCGGACGCCCTGGAGAGCATGCACTTTTTCACTGTCATCCTAGAAATTCAGCCGGTTCCCCTCAAAATACGTTTTGTCTGGAGCGACGACTTTCTAGAGATGCTTTCCCTTCACACCCGACAGAGCCGGCTTCTTAGCAGGACACGTGGTGTGAATTTCCCAGGAATCATGAGGAAACTTACCTTGGTGACAGAGGGGTGTCTCGTGTCCTCCTTTTTGTGACTGAAAGTGCTTTGAAAGACACTGGGACCCCCAAGCGGCTCGGCCAGCTTGGTCCAGCTGCTTCCCATATTTGAAGGGGCTGAGCTATGCAAAGGATCCTAGAATTTGTCTTCTCAGAAGCCACAGTCCTGCTACTTGAAGGCTATGTGATCCTAAGCCATGTGAGCCCAAATTTCCACATCTGTAAAACCGAGGCAATAAAACTCCTCTCTCCCCACCCCCAGCACAGAAGTAAGGTGTGACCATGCCTGGTAAGCCCAGGGAGCTCTATTCAAATGTAGGTGATTCCTATTTCCCTAATCCCTGCAGGACAGATTGAACACCAGGTTTACATTTGCCTTGTGTTGATTGGTTCCTCTAGAATTTTCTTTTTCCATTGAAAAAAAAGATATATCTGAGGCATCTACATGCATTTCCCTATAAAGTTGTTTATTTGCTACAAGGCCGCTAGGGTCAAGTTCAGTGAATGGTTGGGTCCGCGAGTTTCTCTTTGGGCTCTGAGTCTTGCGTAGTTGGAAAACAGTGGGCGTGTGGGTGTGATGTGTGGCTTTCTGAGTGACATGGTGCCCTCCCTCTGATCCGCTGCTCCTGCCTCACCTAGAATGTGGCCCCAGCAGAAAGTGCCTAGTGATAAAATCTCATGATTCTGCTCAGAGAGGGGTGGGTTCATTACTGAGGCAACCGGATCTCAAAAGAGGGTTTTGTGAATGTAGGGTGCCTGTGACACCCACAAACAGACCTTCCAACCTGGTTCTCACACTTGCCTCCTGGATATGTTTTCTACTGAAGTTCTTAGATTCATGCCTTTGAAACCTTTGTCCATCTTCTCATTTGGCCCTGGGCAATTTTTAGCACACTCAAAATCTCCCGGCACTTGTGACTTGAGTCAGCAGTTCTGAATGATTGTAACTGGGCTATTTTAGTCCCAATTTCATCTCATTTTGGCTCGGAGGACTGGCTCATTCTAGAAACATCTTTTGCCCAGGGGATCTGCCCATCTTGAAATCAGTTGAATCTTTTGTGGGTACTACTGCTCCCATGAGGTTTCTAATACCAAGAAAGGGGAGATCAGTTTGAGAACGAAAGCCACTCAGTGACAGGATTTGCCTTCAGTCCAGGATGCAAAAATAAGTTGTTTATCTTCAGGTATATATTTTTTTCTTTTTCACATGACAATAGCATTTAGGTATTTAAAGCCATCAGTAGGGACTGCATTCTCTTCTTCATTTAAAAAAATTTTTTCACCTGGTTATTTCATGACCTATAGACAAAGCTTAAATATCTTGTCATTGTCTTTAGCAGATGGAGTTGCCTTAATCTGGGTCATTTAAATAGGTTACTATGTTGAAAATCACTGTGTAACAAAAATAGATGGTGACAATGCTCTTTAACAAATCATCTCTGAGAGTTTGACAAAGATGAGCGTTCAGATGATGTCTTGTGATTGGGAGATGGGGGTGATGTATCAGTAGATTATTGGCAACCAGGATTACCGCACTTAAAAACAAAAGAGAAAAATGGATTTTGTTTAAAAACAAAGTTCTGAGCTGTGACTGCTGTTGCCCGAAAGGCATCTAAGGGAGAAAGTGTCTCTGATGGACAAGCCGGGCAGAAGACCTCCGAGGTCCAGGCTGAAGGCACCAAGAAAAGGCAGCTGCGCAGCCCGAGGCTGGGACTCGCCTTTAGGAGACTCTTCAGGCACGAGGTCTGCGCCTCCTTAAACCAGGAGGGAAGGACCCTGGTCTTCACTCCCTGGCTTTCCCGCACACCCTCTGTCCACCCAGCTCCTCTTCAGTGAGACAGAGCCTTGGATGGTGGGGCTTATTGGAGGGAAATTAAATATCACGTGAGACAATTTTCAGGGATTTTTCCAAGTCCTCATATTTATCAACATCTCAGATTACTAGTGTGGACCAGGGTTCTAAGATGATTTCTTCTAACCCAGTGTTTCCCAAATGTTGAATGCTTGCATATCTCCCTCATCATTTTTGAGATATACCCCTATTTACTTGGGGCGTCCCTGGTGGCTCAGCTGGGAAAGAATCTGCCTGCAGTGTGGGAGACCTGGGGTCGATGCCTGGGTTGGGAAGATCCCCTGAAGAAGGGAACAGCTACCCACTCCAGTATTCTGGCCTGGAGAATTCCATGAACTGTATAGTCCATGGGGTTGCAAAGAGTCGGACACGACCGAATGACTTTCATATTTATTTGATATTTTTATATTGAAATTGACTTACTCCTTATTTAAAGTTATCTTGAAAAGAAACGTGACATTACATCACACTTGGAAAAGCAGAATTATTTTTCATAAGAAGAAGGTACCATTATATAAGCAATAAAGAATATATTACCTTCTAGCTACCTGGCTCATGTTAAGCGATGAATCTTTTGCCTTTCTAACTTCATGAAAAGGCACTTAGCCAACAGTAGGGAAATGTTAAAGATTTCTCTGCCAGAACCAGACTGAGATTTCCTCCTGAATTGTCTTACAAAGATGAGAATTGAAAAAGGATAAGTATTTTCACGGTTTTAATATTATTTAATATCACATCTTGGCTCAACCCAAAGCCATCTCTCATCCCACCAATGGTCTGCTTTCTACACTTTGGGAAACACTTTTCTAACCTCAAGATTTTATCTTCTTGTGCTCTGTCCCATCTCTTCCCTGCATTAACTAAACTTATGCTGAACCCAAGTGGAAGCCCAGGCACAGCAAACAATGAATGAAGGCAGAATCAACTCTGTCTCCACGTTCTTGAGAAGTGAAAGACAACAGAGAAGTCGGTTTTGGAGATTTCATTCTTCTCATGTCTAAGAAAATGCCAGTGTTTGTCTAAAACCATCAATTAAAAGGACCCCTGACTTGGGCCAGCATGCTTCTAAAGTTGTTCAAAATGTCCACCATTCTCCACGAAGTTGAATGAACTTATTTTAAAAACATCCCCAGCTGGATATTAGAGTCCCTGGACTGTGTATGCAAATAAGAGCGCCACAGAAAGCTCTCCTGGTTGAATCTATATTTGCATAAACAAGCTCTGTTATGAAGCCACCCTTCTTGATTTCCCGACAGGGTTATTTTGTTGTGTAAAAAGAGAAGGGGGCAGATGAGAGATACTGCAGTGGCGGAGGGGAAATTAAAAAGCGGTACTACCGTAGGCGGTAGACAATTTGGTAACTGCTCGTGGAACGGGTCAGAGACTGGGGCAAAGGAATCTGGCTGAATTCCTAAACAGGGAGCTTCTGTGAGGAGGGAGCCTTGGAAGTTTAAGATGCATATGACTGCCCACCACCCCCTAGCAGATCTGCCGTCCTGACATTCATTTCATGCCCTGCTAAGTTCTGGAGTCTCTTCCCCTCCCACACATGGACCACCCAAGTGTCAGTATTCAGTATTCCCAGGGCTTCCCCAAACCCTTGATCTCACTTCCTGCCCTCGTTGCCTGCGGGGAAAGGAGAGGACTCCGGGACTGAAGTGGTGACCCTTGCTGGGGTTCTGTATAGCGGACTGAAGGTTTTGCCTTGAGTCACGTTCATTCTATTGTTTTACGTCATTTAAAGGGACAAGTCCCAGACATGCTTATTCTCATTAACGGCAGTTCGGTGGGCCTCATTGAGCTTTACCTTCCTGCCTCAGAAAGTGTTTGACTTTTCCTCAGTGGAGTGTTTGGTCATCCAGAAAGATAGGAAAATAGCGCCATTAAGACAGGAGACTAGCCAGAGTCTATCAGTGAACCTTGGTGCCTGATTCGGGGAGGTGTGATACTCCTCCTCCTCAAGCTCATCCTGAGCCAGGACCAAAAACAAGACCTCATCCAAGCAAACTCAGGATTAAAACATTACCTTCTAGTTTTGTTCTAAAAGAATATAAGGGCTACCAATCCTGGTTAACTCCTAGTTTCGTTTCTTTATAGATCAATTTTCCTTCTTATAAAAAGGGTTTTCTTAGTTTAAAAGAATGGAGAAGCCTGAAGTTAATCAATGGAATAAGTTTGTTGCTATAAATAATAAGGAGGTCAGCATTTCTTTGCTGAATCTGAATCCTTTTTCTCTTGACTTAATCACACGTGATGCTTCAGCATAAAACTGTTACACGTCCTGCAGATGCTGAACATGACTGTGTGCACGAAGGACATGGATTTAGAGTCTCTGCTGCACCCAGAAACATTTCCTTCCCGGCTCTGGTGTGGTCAGTGCTTACTCTGTCGGTCAGACAGTAAAACGTCAGCAGGCACTTCACAGGATTCATACGCTTCTGCCACACATTCGTTGTTTCCTGGTTCTCGGTTCAGTGTTTACATCTTACTAACACTTCCCCTCTTGCACACCCAAATGTGGAAAGAAGTGAAAACTTACTGCAGAAGGAGGTAAGGTCGTCTGATGCACAGCCTCCAATTCTAACACATTAGGATTCCGCAGGTAGGTTGTCAGACAAATAACAGGTACCCAGTTCAACTCAGCTTCATGTAAATGGCAACTAATTTTTTGGTATAAAAATAAGTATGTCCCAGGCAATATTTGGGACATCCTTAGGCAAAAAAATTATCCTTTGTTGATCTGAAATTCAGATTTAACAGGACATCCTGTGGTATCACTGTTATTTGCTAAATCTGGCAACCCTACTTAGGAGATTTTCTCCAAAAAACATGGGTAGAACTTGCATAGTCTCCACCGTAACACAAACAAAGAGTATGAATTTGGTTGATGCTGGCAGAACACCACTTGGGACACTTCTCTGGGAAGCGAGGAGGTGTGTGGGCGGGGAGAGGATGACTCATGACAGTCTGTGACTCCACAGCGCGGAACGAGGCGGGCGGATGGGCGGAAACGTGGTGTGGCATGATGCTGCGCGGGTCTCTCCCCGTGGCCCCCGTCATCAGTTAATTTGGTATTTATTTAATACCCGTTTTGAGTCACGCACAGGATCTAATGAGATATAAGGATGTAACAGTGACTAAGACATAACAGCTCGTACCTTCACAGAGCCCGCAGTCTGGCCAGAGAGATGCACAGTCAGCAATTACATTAGTACATTACTTATATTGCTATACATCTAGTATGAGCTTCCTGGTGGCTCAGTGGTGAAGAATCTGTCTACCGTGCAGGAGACGTGGGACTGAAGGTCCAGGTTTGAGGATCACCCACCCTGGATTCAGAGGGCAGCTCTGTCCCCTTAGCAGTGCAATCACAGGCAACTTATTTACCCACCTGGGACCAAAACTCCCCTGACTGTAATGCATGCGTGCATGCTCAGTGGCTTAGCACGTCCAACTCTTGCAACCCTATGGACTGTGGCCCACCAGGCTCCTCTGTCCGTGGGATTTCCCAGGCAAGAATACTGGAGTGGGTTGCCATTTCCTTCTCCAGGGGATCTTCCTAACTCAGGGGTCGAACCTGCGTCTCCTGTGTCTCCAGCAGGTGGGTTCTTCACCACTAGTGTGGACACAGTCATTCATGCTTTCCTCATCAGCCTGTCGTTACAACATTCAGTGGCGTAGAATGGTGCTGGGCACTGGTACCTTCTGTCCCTGTTACATCAGAGTTAAAAGTTGGACATCTCTTTGCCCAGTTCCCTAAGACCGCAGTCCCCTCTTCAAGGGGCTGAGGGAGACAGGAGGCTGAGGGAAGGAGGCAAAGCCAGCCAAATCAGAGGTGTCTGTGGGCTTAGCAACTGGACCTGCCCTGGCAGAATTCTAGGACTCCAGAACCAAGCTTTTTCTTGTAGCTCCCATGCTGCTTTGACTGAGCAGGCTGAGCAGCTGTGAAGGGCAGGTAACACGGCCGCTCAGTAGAGGAAGCAAAGCAGCGGCATTTAAATCAAAACAGTGTGGGACCCACTGAGTGATGGAGCATGTCCCGTAATGACGTGAGCAGGACCAGTGACTTACTTACGCCAACAGCAGTGCTTGCTAAGAGATGGAAGTGAGGTCAGCCCCGCCCCACCCCAGATTCTTGGTCTAAAACAGACCCCTTGAGAAAATGGGGATTTTCCCCGGAGAGCGGAAGTGGAGTTGATGGTGGGGACCGTGGCTGGCCACTCCTGCTGCCCCTGCTTCTGGTGCTGGCTGAGGGCTCTGGGCGTATGCCGTTCCCTGTGCCAGGGGCCTCCTCCCCTCTCCCCGAGTTAATTTCTAGTCGCCCTTCAGATCACAGCACAGCATCCTTTCCTCGGTCAAGCTTTCCTGACTGTCATGGTAGATCTAGTCTATGGCCGTACCACCCTGAATGTGCCCGATCTCGTCTGTCATGGTAGATCTAGTTTAGCAACCCCCTCCTCTTTTTTTAGCACCAAATCCTTCCCTTTACCCTGTAGCACTTATCATAGTTGAAATTTTACGTTCACCTGTGGAATTACTTGTTTGGTGTCTCTCTCTCTTCATGAGAACACATCACCCCTGTACTCAGTATCCGTCACAGGTCAGAGAAGGCGGTCGATCACATTTTTCATGAGTAAATGCATACATCATAATACCTCCCTCCTATTTTTTGAAAAAGACAGCAAGCTAGTTGGTGGAGGACACTTCCCCTTCAACCAGTCCTCGTTAATTTAATTACCATTTAGATCTAAAACAGCACCAGGTGTCCCAGACTGTTTGGAACATGCATAAATGCAGAACCGCCTGAGCCTAGCCTGTTTGATCGCATTGTTGATACAAGGCAGAGGTTATTTTAAACCCTAGCTTTATGCGGTTTTATACATTCTTAAATGGAACTGGGATTATTCCAGGATCACCTGTCACAAACGTCATTTCTATACATTGGCCCTTTAGCTCCTGATTCAAATGTAGAATCTGCTCTGTAAATGACTCCCTTTTAGTATCAAAAAAGTCAGTACAGAAGATATTGTGTCTTGCATCTGACAGTGAAGTTCAGTGATTTGTGAACTTCCTTCGGAGAGGTACTGTGCAGTGTGGGGGGAGCGCCAGGTCAGAGAGGCAAGTCCGGATCTGAGGCCAGACTGTGCCCCTGGTTAGCCGGGCAGGTCACAGGCCTCAGTTTCCTGCTTCATGAAAATTCAGGCATGGGGTTGAATGGTCTCTAAGACTCTTTCCAACATCAGAAATACTCTGAAAGCTTTGAATGTTTCCACAGTGTGTTTTTAGTCTCAGACATTTTTTTCCTTTTAATCAGAAAATGTAATCAAAGATCTGGCATCCCTGGGGATTTAAAGGGTTGTGTCACGAGCCCCTGGACCAGGAGCATTAAAATGAAGACGCGTACGATGAGGAGGTTAGGCCAGGCGAGCCCAGCGTTAGAATGTTTGACGCGGTGCTCACTTGTGTCGAGATACAGAGACTGTAGGCCTCCCAGCTCTTCCCCTGCCCCGTGAGAGCATGGAAGTAACAGCCCAGTCGCTGAGGAGGGCAGATGGCCCCGAGCTGCACGGGGTCTGGCTGCTCAGAGAGGGGAGAGGAGGAGGAGGAGTGGGGAGGCGGTGGGGAGCGGGGAGGCCAGGGCCTGAACGAGGGGGGTTGCGGTTCCCTGTCCGTTACCGCCCACCCACTCGCATCTACTTTAGACGAGGAGGCTGCGTCTACAAGAGGAGAAGCGGGGCTTGTGATGGCTCGTCAGACCCAAACCTCTGTCCCAAGTGCCTTACACAAACGCTATAGATGTCAGATCTTTAGATGTCTGTAGACTACAGATGCCTGTAGTCAGGGGTCCCTAGCCACCTGGCCGAGGGCCGGGACCCGTCCGTGGCCTGCTAAGAACCAGGCCACACAGCAGGTGAGCGGCGGTGGGCGAGTGAAGCTTTATCTGTACTTACAGCGACTCCCGGGGCCTGCACAGCTGCCTGAGCTCTGCCTCTTACCTGGTCAGCAGCGGCACCAGACTCTCAGGGAAGCTAGAGCCCTGCTGCGAACTGAGCCCGTGAGGGTCTGGGTGGGCTGCTCCTTATGAGAGAGAGCCTGATGCCCAATGGCCTGAGCAGGGCTGAGCAGGGCTGAGTGGGGCTGAGCGGGGCTGAGCAGGGCTGAGCGGGACTGAGCAGAGCAGGGGCTGAGCAGGGGCTGAGCAGGGGCTGAGCGGGGCTGAGCAGAGCAGGGGCTGAGCAGGGCTGAGCGGGGCTGAGCAGGGGCTGAGCAGGGCTGAGCGGGGCTGAGCAGGGGCTGAGCAGGGCTGAGCGGGGGCTGAGCAGGGCTGAGCGGGGCTGAGCAGGGGCTGAGCGGGGCTGAGCAGGGCTGAGCGGGGGCTGAGCAGGGCTGAGTAGGGGCTGAGCAGGGCTGAGCGGGGGCTGAGCAGGGCTGAGAGGCACTGAGCAGAGCAGGGGCTGAGTAGGGGCTGAGCGGGGGCTGAGCAGGGGTGAGCGGGGCTGAGCAGGGGCTGAGCAGGGGTGAGCGGGGCTGAGCGGGGCTGAGCAGGGCTGAGCAGGGCTGAGCAGGGGCTGAGCGGGGCTGAGCAGGGGTGAGCAGGGCTGAGCGGGGCTGAGCGGGGCTGAGCAGGGGTGAGCGGGGCTGAGCGGGGCTGAGCAGGGCTGAGAGGCACTGAGCAAAGCAGGGGCTGAGTGGGGGCTGAGCGGGGGCTGAGCAGGGGTGAGCGGGGCTGAGCAGGGGCTGAGCGGGGCTGAGCAGGGGTGAGCGGGGCTGAGCGGGGGCTGAGCGGGGGGTGAGCGGGGCTGAGCAGGGGCTGAGCGGGGCTGAGCAGGGGTGAGCGGGGCTGAGCAGGGGCTGAGCGGGGCTGAGCGGGGGCTGAGCGGGGCTGAGCGGGGCTGAGCAGGGCTGAGCGGGGCTGAGCAGGGGCTGAGCGGGGCTGAGCAGGGCTGAGCAGGGCTGAGCGGGGCTGAGCAGGGGCTGAGCGGGGCTGAGCAGGGGTGAGCGGGGCTGAGCGGGGGCTGAGCGGGGCTGAGCAGGGCTGAGCGGGACTGAGCAGAGCAGGGGCTGAGCAGGGGCTGAGCGGGGCTGAGCAGGGCTGAGCGGGACTGAGCAGAGCAGGGGCTGAGCAGGGGCTGAGCGGGGCTGAGCGGGGCTGAGCAGGGGCTGAGCGGGGCTGAGCAGGGGCTGAGCGGGGCTGAGCGGGGCTGAGCAGGGAGCCGCTGCAGACGCCATGACCCTCAGCAGGGAGGTCCGGCCGCACAGCGACCCGGCAGACCAGTTGCTCGCAGACATGTCAAAACCCATGAGTGAGCAGCAAGCGGGTTGCGAAATTATTTCACCGCATATCACAGTGTAGTAACAATAGAGATGAAGCACAGAGTAAACGTCATGCGCCTGCACCATCCCGAAACCCTGCCCCAACCCCGGTCTGCGGGAAACTTGTCTTCCGAGGACCAGTCCTTGGGGCCAGCGAGGTTGGGGCCGCTGCCCGCAGTGACCTCTCAAGCAGAGTGAGAGCCGAACGAGAGCACTTCTCTTTGAAAGCAGATTATTAGAACCCATCTTTGATGTCAGACTTTGGATCAGTAAGACAACACATCCTTATCTCATAAACAAACACGAGTGTGTTACAGATGCACTTTCAGAACATGTTTTTTGCGGAGACCACAGTCCAAAGAAGACCCATGGCCTCAGCTCAAACTAACATTCTAACAGCCACGCGCTCCTTTCCCTCACCTCTAGCCCTAACGTGTTACTTACATAAATATGATACATAATGGTTCTGTATTTTCTGCAAAAGAGAAATATCTGGACTTTTCCCAATATTTTAACACAAATCCACAACCACATACAGAAAGTTGTGAAAGGGGAAACTTAACATGCATAGCCTCAGCCCACGTTTGTAAAAAAGCGCTCTTTCGCTTTTAAATCCTGCGATGATTAACATGTTTTGTAACTTTCATAGGGCGAGGAAAAGTCACCCGCCCCTTCAGCCAATGTCAAGTCAGACGAAGCCAACGTTACTCTCCAGGAGCCCCAGGGAGCCGCCAAGAATTCTGCCTCCGCTGAAACAGCGAAGGAGGTTGCGAAGGGAAAGGGGGGCCCCAGCTCTCTGCCTCTGGGCAAGCTGTTCTGGAAAAAGGTAAGTTCTGGTCTCCAGACTAGGGGAGTCCCTGGGGCCGGGACGACTGGAGAAGTGCTTCTGGTTGGCTGGCACGGTACTCGGCGACGCCGGGAGTTTCTTCTTCAGACTGACTCAACTCGCCGCCGAGCTGAAGACTCGTAACTCGCTCCGTGAGAAAAATGCAGTGTCTGTCGTGTTGCGAGCATGTGTTTGTGGGAAAGAAAAGGAAATGAACACGTAGAATTTTCCTTCTTGGAATGACTCCGGTGCGGCACAGGGGGCCGTGGTCTTCGTCAGTCGTCGTCTTTCTAGCGCGTGGGTCCTCGGGTTTCTTCCCGCCCTGGCGCCGTGGCCGCGCGACGCTCCGTCCTTCCTCCCCCAGCCGCGCAGCAGCCCGCGACCTCGGTCTCCCGTCGGAGAACCACAGCCGTCAACCAGTTCCCCACCAGGGCAGGCACACAGCGCGCCCTGCGAGGGGAACTCGCAGACCGCTGTCTGCGTTCTCCCTGAAGAGGGAAGGTGCCGAGCGAGGAGGCGAGGCGGGCGCGCCGACACGCTGAGAGCTACTCCGTGATCCTCCTGCTGAGCAAGCCTCAGCTGCCACACGTGTCCAGAGCTCTCGCCTGCTTTAAATGGCCAAAGATGAGCAAGAGGTCAGGGGAGGGGGAGTGTGAAACAGAGCTGGAATCACCAATTGAGCAATTCCAGTGGCACATCCGTGCGTCTTGGTGCACTGTGCCAGGAAGGCGGTGAGTAAAGATGCCGCTGGGTGTTCGGTTTCTTCTCTTGTCCAGAATCCAGCGGGATTTCTGAAACCTTTTCCCGTTTGTTTTCCATTGTACAGAAATCTCCCTTCTGGGTTCTTCCCAGAACACAAGCGCTAATACTTAACGAAAACTGAGCAATGTCACTTGGCAGATCCGTCCTAATTCTCCTTTCTCATTGATTTCTCTCTCTTTTGTCTTTAACAAAATATTTTATCAGCACTATAATGAAGGGAACAGTTTCCAAGCAAGTTACATCCATATACTGGTGGCAAGGGATAGATTTAAGTGGCTCATATTCAAACTTTTTTACTTCAATAATTGTATGTATTATTCAAAATATATTAGGAAAAATAAAACTAGCACATTAAATAAGCTCAAGACTTAACATATATTTTGCTCAAGGTGAAGTTACATGTATTTAGTTTAAAAAAGTAATCCAAGGAGGGGGACCTCCCTGGCGTCCGGTGGTTAAGACTCTGCACTTCCAATGCAGGGGGTGAGGGGTCAATCCCTGCTCAGGGAACAAGGATCCCTCATGCCACGGGCTGCAGCTGGAAAAAAAGTTATCCAAGGAAAGAGTTATATAGTTAATGGTACTAATGCTAATAAGGAAATCAAGCCTGAATATTCATTGGAAGGACTGAGGCTGAAGCTCCAATACTTTGGCCACCTGATGGGAAGAGCCAACTCTTTGGAAAGAAAAACTCTGATACTGGGAAAGATTGAGGGGAGGAGAAAGGGACAACAGAGGATGACACGGTTGGATGGCATCACCGACTTGATGGACATGAGTCTGAGCAAACTCCGGGAGATGGTGAAGGACAGGGAAGCCTGGCGTGCTGCAGTCCGTGGCGTTGCAGGAGTTGGACGTGACTTAGCGACTGAGCAGTAACAATGCTGAGTAAACAGTGGTAAATTGGGGTCCTCCCAGGAGGCTGACGTGAAGACAGAGCTGATGTATAGAATGTCTGTTGGAGGAAAACACTTGGAGGAGAAAGGGCGTGGGGAGGAGGGGAGGGGAGAGGCTGCAGGGCCCGGGAGGGGCAGAGCGGCAGGAGGAGAGTGCTGGAAGGCCTCGGGATGAGGGCGCTGCTGAGCGGGGCCCAAGCAGAGCTCACTCGGGGGTCCTGTGTCGGCTCGCCAAAACTCTGCCAAGGAGCAGCGGGGGGAGCGCAGAGGTCGTGGGCGCTGAGGTCGGGACCCTCAGAGGCTGCCCTGCCCGCAGGGAGATGGGAGCCGCTCTCGGCCACGGCTGCTGCAGACGGTGCATTGTTGTTCAGTCACTCAGTCGTGTCCGACTCTGAGACCCCAGGGACTGTAGCCCGCCAGGCTCCTCTGACCACGGGATTCTCCAGGCAAGAATACTGGGGTGGGTTGCCTTTTCCTTCCCCGGGGGTCTTCCCGGCCCTAGGATGGGACCTGCGTCTCCGGCACTGGCAGGCAGCTTCTTTACCGCTAGGCCAGCAGGGAAGCCCTACAGAGGGGGTGAACAGTGTGGTCGAGACCACACAGGAGGTTGGCGAACAGTGGAGGTTTCAGGAGCACCGACGTACGGGTTAAACCTGCAGTCACAGCAGACTCCGAGTCCCGGTCCACCTCCACAAGCCTGGGTTTCCTCGCCTGTGAAATGCAAGTGTCCCACGTCATGGAAATGAGTGAGGACTAAGGGACGTGGGTGAACCCTGACCCTGGGAGCCCGTGTCTCGCCCACGTGCTCGGAGAGTTGCGGCGTGGGTCAGGCCCACTCTGGCATCTCTGTGGCAGCCAGTCTGGGTAAGCTTCTCAACGTGAAAACCTCCCATGCTCCATCTCTCCTGATCTTTGGCATCTATGAGAGATGTGGTCTGTTCCTCTTTGAAACTGCGGCTCTTCCCATTGAAAATAAGTCAGGACCACTTGGCACTCATGTACTCATTATTTCAGTCTCACTGTTTTTTCCACCGGCAGCTGCTTTCTTTCTTTAGTAGGTCATACAAACAACGAAGTTAAGAGAAACTAAAAACCAAATCACCTCTAATCTTGTCTTTCCTTCTTGCATGAAGAGAAAACAGATCTGTATGGAAGTGAGGAGGACATTCACTCATCCAACAGCAGTTTTAATCACTTTCTTTGTGCTAAGTTGTTTGTGTGTGTGTGTGTAGGTCCTAGGCATTGAAAAAGTATCAGTGAACAGCTTGCTGCCCTCTAGTAGCTTCCATTCTCTTGGAGGAGCTTATTTCTTGTAGGAAACAAAATGGCAGTCTTTGTCTTTTTAAAATTAGAGTAAGATTTGGTTATAAAACCATTATTGTAAAATTTTTGAGAACAAAGAGAAACACTAGAAAATTCTGATATTTCCAGTAACTCCAAGCTTGCTTTCTTTTAATTGAGAAGCTTTTAAATAAACAAATTTCGAAGTCTCTAAGTCTGCAATTAGGAACATCAGAAATGAAATTTTCCCCTACAGGCTGTCAGTATGAAATTATACATTATTTTGATTTATAGTCTTGATTGCTAAAGTAGTTCTTATTATAAACAAAAATAACCTTTGAGGAAATTAATTTCACATTTTGTTGTGCTTGCCAAAAAGACGTTTAGGTCCAGTTATGTGGACTAACTGCACCCTTTCAGAGTAGTTGGGATACCATTTGCTCTCTGACTTTTTGTGTTTGCAAAAGTTATTTACTCTGGGTTTGTTTTTCCTCATTTGTTGAGTGAAAAGATTGCAATAGCTGATATTAAAAAACCTTGGGGATGGCAAGTTGGCATAACAGCCAGAATCAGAAAGATGGGGTTCTGTAACTTTAGGCAAATCATTTGACCCCTCGGAGCATTTACTGTCTGCAATGTAGGGACTGTGTCTGTCTCACGGTGTTGTGATGAGAATCCGTCACTTACATGGAGAGCGTCTGAGACATAGTGAGTGCTCAGGGAAGAGTGCTCCTCTCATTTCTTCAAGTCCGACGTCGCTGGTTACCGTCTAAATATCCAAGTGCAGCTTCTGGAGCCCACAGCTCGTGAGGTGCAAAGGGAATGTCAGGCTCATCTGCTGCCATCGAAAGACTTGAAATCCACTCAGTGGGACAGCGTATGTATTAATACACTCACGCCTTTGTGTGCGTGTGCCTGCACGTGGTTGGTAAATGATGCATTTATTTGGAGTATCTTCAAAATGGCTCTTTTCCTACTTTCCTTTGGGAGAGACAAATGATGAAATAGAAAAACAATGTGAGCTCTGAAGCCAACGAGACACATAATCAAATCTCAGCTCTGACAGTGACTGTCTATTTGAACGTGAGCAAAGAATATAAACCCTCTAAGCCTCGCTTTCCTCAGCTCTGAAAATAGGAAGTGATACCTACCTTTCATGATCTGGGGGAGGAGTTGGAAAATGGATACAATGTGACTGGCATTTGATGAGTGATAGCTTCATTCCCAAATAGTCAAGTGTGGAATCTAATATTAACCTGTGGAGTGCAGGTTACAAATGCTGCGGGTGTTTAGACAAGGGGGCAGCCAGGGTGGGTCCAAGTAGACTAAGAGAACTTAAACATTCCTCTGACTCACATGGGTTATTTGTTTCAAAATGGGAGTCCCAGAGTCCACTGGGATCCAGTTTAGAAAGCCCAGCATAGGGGCTTCCTTGGTGGTCCAGTGGCTAAGACTCCCCACGCCCAGTGCCAGGGGCAGGGGTTTGATCCCTGGTCCGGGAACTAAGATCCCACCTGCTGCACGGTGCAGCCAAAAAATACATAAATAAACCAAGAAAAGGCTGGCCTAGGTCTGGATAACTATGGAAGCACCTGAAAGACGGGCCTTAAGCATTCAGACCTGATAGAAAAGGTCTTCCTTAAGATCCACTGTGAAGTTAATGAACGCAGAACAGCCGTCACGTGATCCAGATGGTGCTTCTGGAAGACCCAATAGCAACAGGCTGTCTGCTGGCTTAAGTGCTGCCGCGTGACAGCATTTTAAGGGAATGTTCCTTTAAGGACCACGGGGCTCTTTAAAGGAGAGGTGCTCTTGTAAATCAAGCTTATATGATAAGTACATGTGCTGTTTAGATCATTATGCTCAGCAATATAAATGTCCAAACCAGATCCTTTAGATTTCAAACCAGGGTTTTGTCGTTGTTAACGAAGCTGGACAACATTTAAACTCACTAGATAACAGCCGGATGTCCAGTTGGTTGAAAAGGAGGGAAGCATTTCTGGTTTTGAGGTTTGGATGAGAGTCCCATGCTTGGGGTATTTGCCCACCAGCCCCATGCCT